GTGCTGGAGGAGTGGGTGGAGGTTGGAGGGGTGCTTGGAGTGGGGCTGGGCCAGCAGGCAGGGGATGGGGCCTTGCGGGAACCCCCTCCCCACTGTCCCCTTCCCCCTTCTCCAGCCCCCTCCTCCCCTGCAACCTACTTACCATCATGGAGTCCAGGTCCACCTCTCTGCTGCAGCAGGCAGGGACTGCCCAAATTGCCAAAGCTTTCCAAATCTTTTTCTGAATAAATTCGGAGAGCTTCAAATCGATTCGGGCCTTTTTAGTTGATCAGGCCGAATCTCCTCTGAATCAAATCAGCATCCGAAGCTTTGCACAGCCCTATTAAATGGCTGTAAAGTCTTGAGATTCAGGAATGCTATTAAATATGTCAGGGACTACATAAGAGAAAAGCAACAGTGGTGAAATAGTGAAAAGGAATGAGTATAAGAGGGAGCAGAAGGAGGAAATCTGGGGATGGCTTTGCAAATGAAGACAGATTTTTTTCTGGAACATGGGTGACTGGTGCCACCTTAGTCATGGGGGGCACATGCCCTCCCAGCGACCAGTCAGTGACTGGGGGTGTCCCCCCATGGCCGATTGTGCCGGCAGGGATGCGGCTGCAGCACTCCTGGAAATGGCCGTGGCATGGAATCTGCCACTCCCACTTACCAGCTGGCACTTTCTGGGGGCACTGGCGCTCCTGCCTGCCCATCACCTAAGCAGGGAGCATGGCCTGTCAGGGGCTGTACCAGCACTCTCGGAGGGTGCACATGCACCCCCTACGCATTGCCACTGATTTGGAACATGAAACAGATCCAGTAAACTAAAGGAAGATGCAGGTTCTGTGGCCCCATTGTGATATGCTGTGGTAGGGAGTAATATTCTGTATACGATCCACATGCAGAACAGGAACTTCAGGAGTTCATAGCAAAGAGACTTGGAAAAAGACATAAGGGCTCAGTTTGAGACGGTGGCTCTCCACCAGGGTCCACAGCACCCTGGGGTGCCTTGAGATCCTTTCAGGGATGCCACAGGGTGCCACACAATGTTAGAACTGGTAAGTTTACAAACATGATTCACAAGACAAACCTAGAGATTTCACATAGAAATCTGTAGTTGTGGTCCTTCTGAGTTCTTTTAACAGAAACACTGCTCTATTACTTTTCTGTAGCCAAAAAAGTAAAAAATAGCT